ATGGAGAGCTCCTACAAAACTCAGAATGAAAAGAAGCTAAAATGGGCAAGGAGCCCCCCGATACAGGAGTCACTAGTGCAGCGGTTTAAACTGCTGAGCTTGTTGATTGAAAGGCTGGCAGTTCAAATCCACCCGGCGGGGTGAACTACCATTGCGCTGTCCCAGCTGCTGCCAGCCGATCAGTTTGGAAGCATGCACATGTGAGTAGATAAATAGGTACCACTGTGGTGGGAGGTAACAGTGTTCTGTGCTCTTCGGCATTTAGCCATGCTGGCCACATGACCACGGAGACCGTCTGCGGACAAATGGAGATGAGCAGCACCCCCTAGAGTGGGACACAGCCAGACTTAACATCATGGGGAAACCTTTACCTTTTATCCTCCCCTGTACAGCCATCAAGACTCAGAGCCATTGATAATGTACCATCCATGAGATTGTCTAAACTCCCCTTAAAGTCATCCAGTGAGGTGGTCATCATCACACCTTGTGAAAGAATATTGCTTAGTTTAGCTGTTTCCTTCATGAAGCTGCAATATTTTTATTATTATTATTATTATTATTAGAACATTTCTATGCCGCCCCTTGCCGAAGCTTCGGGGCGGCTTACAACACAATAAAATACAAAAATAACAATATAAAATTAACAATATAAAATAAATAAAAAATATAAAATATAAAAGAAGTCGCCCTGGCCAGATAAATAAGCAAATATTGTTAACAATTAAAATGACGTTTAAATAAAAAGGTCTTCACCTGGCGCCGAAAAACAAATAACGACGGCGCCAGGCGGACCTCTCTGGGGAGCTCATTCCATAGATTGGGTGCCACTGCAGAGAAAGCCCTCCTCCGAGTACCTACCCTCCTAATTTCTTTCATGGAGGGTTCCCGGAGAAGGGCCTCTCCCGCAGATCTCAAGGGGAGGTCGGGCATATATGGATGTAAACGCTCCTTCAGGTAAGCAGGACCCAAGTCGTTTAGGGCTTTATAGGTCATCACCAACACCTTGAATTGGGCCCGGACTTCAATGGGAAGCCAGTGAAGCTGACGGAGAACTGGAGTCATGTGAACATAACGCCCAGTCCCCATCAGCAGCCTGGCAGCTCTATTTTGAACCAATTGAAGTATCCGGACCGTCTTCAAGGGTAGCCCCACGTAGAGCGCGTTTATTTATTTATTTTATTTATTAAAACATTTCTATGCCGCCCCTTGCCGAGGCCTCGGGGCGGCTTACAACATCAAATAAAAAACATCAATAAAAAATTGCTCCTCCAATTCAGCAAGCAGATGGAGCATTGCAAACAGGGTGTCTCACTGGGGGCAATTCCCCACTCAGCCAAATCACTTCTTTGGTTATCCTGAGCCCTCTGACCGTATGCCAAGAAACTGCTCAGAGGAAGGTGGATTACAAAGGATCATAGTCTCAGTAATGGGGAAAGCAGAGAACTTAAAACGAAACCGTTTTAAGAATGACTTCTCAAGTGCACTTGCAAGGAATCCAGCTGCGTGTAGGAATACGCCGCATGCGGTCCGGGAATGTCCGTGAGAGTCTCCCACACGCCCTCTTCGGTACCTGGATTCCTCATATTGAACGTGAGGCGAATGAGACCATGCCGGACAAGAATCATCCCATGCTCCAGCTTGCACTCATCCTTTCCCAAAGGGGACTAGCTTAGGGCTGATGTAGTTTGGGAGATCCACACTGACCTGGACACCTCACGCCAAAGCTGCAGCTTGCATCCCATCACAGCAATGCTCCAGCAGCTGGAAACAGTGCCACATGCAATGTGATTCAATTGAAAGCGTAATGATAGGTGAAGTCATCCATTGTGCTTAGCACTGTGGTTTATGATCAGCGAATGGATGCGACACATTTGCATCGGCATGCTAGAAAGATGTTTAGATATACCCCCTGAGAAAAGACATATTTTCACCCAGTTATCTGGTTAAGAAAGTTCACACAAACTTTCCACTCCCACTGGTGCAGGGTCTTTCATGCTAATGTGGCCAAAAAAGAGGAAATACATCCTCATAAAAGAGGAGGATGTCAACATGCATAGCAATAGCATATGAAAATATGTGCGTAGAACTCTAAATTTTGAATTCATATCTATTATTTAAGTAGAAGTGGAAGGCATCTCACCCTAGTAAGGTGACCCATGTGCCACCCAAATCAGTCGTCCAGTTGTGCTCACATGGGTGGTCAGCTTGGTTAGTTGCAAAGACTCTACTTTCTTCTGATTCATTATCTTTACACCAGACTTGAATGGACAGCCTTCTAATAGAGGAGCTCTTCAGGTAATGAACTGTCCTCTGCCAGCTCTCCACAATAGACTGCTCTATGTAAACCAGGACACCTGGCCACTCTAGCTAGTTCTACCAGTGAGAAAGCATTATTGTAGCAAATTCCTTTAATGGGTTTCCTGTGATGAGAACTACAGAAGAAATAGTAGTAAAACATGGAAGGACTCCCATTGAGCACAGCAATGGCTGGACCCCTGAAAAGTTCTGCAAAGGAGGGCCACATGCTTTGAAAACCTCACCTGCGGTCACCAGGAGAGCCCCCTTTCTGGGTTTGTGAATGAAGCTACTGGCACTTTTCATGGGAATATCTTGTATCCCAGAGGCCTAAAGAGAAGCAAAGCCAGAGTCTCCAGCATCATCAAACCTGGTGTGCTCCAGACATGGTGGAGTACACCTGGGGCATTCCAGGGTATGCTGGGAGTTGCAGTCCAACACGTCTGAGGATACTAGGTTGGGAACACCAGGGGCAGATTTGCACAGCTGCTCTCCTCCCGGGACAGAGCTGCATGCTTTGGGGATGACTGTCGTGGAACACGGGCACCAGGGCAAGCTACAAAAGTTTTAGAGAGAACACAAATAGTGTTAGCAGAAACAAAAGTTGGTAGAAATAACAAGAGGACTGTAGCAGGTCAAGAGCTCCATCATGAGGTTCTGTTTGGCATAGGTGCTCTTCCAACCAGAGAATTGGCCAGGATTTCCATCTATAACTAGAAATGCCAGCCATTCCAGGAATATTCAGAAGCTTGTGGGGTGGGGTATAGGATGCAAATTCTGAAATCCACCTCACCAACTGGGCAGAGAGCTCCTGGGAAACCTATTGGAATCTGGAAAGCTGACGGCTGAAAGCACCCATCATATTGCGACCAGTCCCAGGCCAGGACTCTGAGAAGGTTGCTGGGGACTCTTCACAGTTGCTGAGCCAATCCGCTTTGGTATGTCTGAATGGCCTACTGGGGCCCCTGTACGTGGTGTTCCTGGGGGAAGGGGAGGAGTGCTGGGAACAGCAACACGGCAGGCAACGCTTACAGACATCCCTCTCCTTTGCAGGACAGGATGTAGCTCTGCTTTGCATGGAAAAGGACTTGAGTTCCATCTCCCAACACCTTCAGTAAGGGCTAGGGAGAACTCTGCCTGGGCCCTTGGAATAGTGCCCGATGGACCAAAGCAAGGTGGAGAAAGAAGAGATACCACTGAGCAAGGTCAACCAAGAAGCTGATGGATACATTACTTACAAGGGAGGAAAATGCCCTTTCTAAGGAATGTGCTGACCTCATTCGTTCCAACGTGCAGAATTTTAGAGATAGCTCCCAAGATTGCCACACGTGACCTGAAGCACTCCTGCTCAGAGTGAGGATTCTTAGTTTTTGCCCCATTCTAAGTCCTCCTCCTCCTCCTCCTCCTCCACCACCACTCTTGGCCCAAAAAATCTGCTCTGAAATGCCTCCTGATCCTGTGGAGCAGTGAGTGTGTGGGGGGGGGGGGCAAGGGAAGGGCCCTCAACAGGACATGAAAATAGGTGGACATGTCCCCAACAAGGCCACCCAAGCAACATGGCTACCTTCCACTCCAATCTGCCGCCTCTCCCCTTTCCAAATCTACAAGAGTGGGAAGAAAAGCGTCCAGGTTATTTAAACCTTGTCCCTACCCTAAACATAGGATCAACCTTCAAGGGAGGCAGTCAATTCAGAGCAGATCCTCCCTTCTTCTTTTGCTCCTTTGGTGTGCATTTATATCTTGTATATACCACATGGATACTTAAAATATGAGCAACCCATTAAGAGAGCCCATCGTTTGCTGTTGGCTTATGAACAATGGTTGTTCATGATTAACAAACCATGGTTTGTGAGTGCAGTTGTGTTCAGACAACAAAAGGACGCACCTTTCAACAACAACCCACAGTTCAATGATAATCTTCAATGACAACCTATAATTCACCTTGAGTGTGAATTAGCGTGTTTTCTAACTCACTCTAGATGGGGATAGAAGCTGATAGCTTTCAGAAAAGCCTGCACCTCAACCTTCCCCACCCTAGTAGCCTTTGAATGTTTCGTACTTCTGCTCCCATCAGCCTCAATGAGCAAAATCAGTAGTCAGGAGTGCTGTGATTGCTAATCCAAAAGGTGAGGTGGGGGAAGACTGCTGCGTGAAGCTTCAAGTCCATAGCCATTGTGTGGAGATAGACTGCCGTGACTAACTTCTGGGGCTTCCTCCATTCGTGATTGATGGTCCAGCTTCCTTTTGGCAAGCTGCTACCCCAGACTCCCAAATCAGGCCAGCAGAGACCAAGGACCACAATGCAGCGGCCGTTGCTTTGGGTTGGCAAAGATTTGAACCAGCCCACGTCTCGCTGCTTTCCCAGGACTGTTCCCACCGCAATCAAAGCAGAACCAGGCAAGAGCAGCAGGGGCTGTGGGTGCTCTGCTTGGAAAGAACCGCTTCCCTCCGGGCAGAAGAATGGAAATGCTGATTCCTGGAAGAAATGGAGGCTCCAGTTATGTATAAGTAGGTCTCAACTAGCCAGAAGCTGCAACTGATAATACTTTTTAGTGCCTTCCATCCATGAGCGGTAAATAGGCTAATCTCCACGCTGGGAATCTCTTGGGTGTAAACACAAATTCCACCAACTTGTTGTGTGAGAAAATTGTTACATAAGGGGAGCTGTTTTTCCCACCAGGGAAAATACACTGTTTAGTCAAACACAAAGCTACCACGCTTTATTGGTTTCATGCCACAAAATTATGATTGCAGCTGGAACTGGGACATTGTTCTGATACATAAATTTTAAAAGAAGAATCATGTACATGTGTAACAAAATTGGTCATTACAGGATCAGCCTGCACCCCATAACTACCACCAAACTTGAGTTGTCAACAGGACAGCTAAGAAAACCCTCACAACATATACCAGGAATAATAACGAATTTGTATCATGCAATCCAAATTTTCTTCTTAATTAGTAAATAAAAGAATTTGGTTAAAGCACGGTAAGACTGGTGTACGTAAAAGCAAAATAAGGGGTTAAGGACGATGAATATTCATTACAGATCCCTTGGCCATCAGCCAAAGACACTCTTTGGAGGCTCTTCTTTAGGCCTGTCGAAGGCGGTTTCCCCCCCTGTCCGCTCTCGGCTGAATATGGAAGGTGCAGCAGAGCCAGCTTGCTCTGGAAAAAGAACGGGAGTCAATTAATACTTCAGCAAGAGTGATTCACACACAATGGCAGCTGCAGAAGAAGAAAGCAGGAGACAGATCCCGTGGAGATATATATAACGTGCACTTAATATGGGACGATTTCATCACATGTCTAGCATCTCAGTGTTGGATACTGGAGCTCCCGGCACATGTGTGTGTGTGTGTGCACAGAGTGTACATTTTTAAAAAATCTTCAACCTAAAACAGGACACTTCCTCTCCATCTTGGAAAGCACTTTTCCAGAGAAAATAGTTATATCACCATTACCTCTCAGGGTAGAGGTGGTGAACCATGTGGGCTTCCAGATGCTGTCAGACTCTAATTCCCATCACCCCAGCCAGCATGGCCAATGGCCCAGGAAGATGGGAGCTGTGCTCTGACATTTGGAAGGCCGCAGGTTCTGACTAAGGGTTTAACAATGAGAACTGATAGCTATGCAGGGAAGTCAGGTAGTTATGCAGGAGAGCCAGTGTGGCGTAGTGGTTAAGAACCTGGGACTGGGACTCAGACGATCTGGGTTCTAGTCCCCGCTCAGCCATGGAGCCAACTGGGTGACTTTGGGCCAGTCACAGACGCTCAGCCCAACCTACCTCACAGGGTTGTTGTTGTTGTGGGGATAAGATGGAGGAGGAGAATGATGTAAGCTGCCTTGAGCCCTTTGTAGGAAAAAGGCAGGATATAAATCACAATATAAATAAATATAATATAAAAGTCAAGCAGGGATGCAGTTAGTGCCATCCCCGTGGGGGAATGAATAGAAGGAAGATTGGTTTGCAGCTGGCTGGCAGTGGGGCAAAGATTAAGGGAAACGGAGAAGATGCCTGCTATTCAGTGGGGCTGACCTGCAAAAAGAGGAGGAAGGGTCTGAAAATGGCAGCACACCCATGCTTGCAAAAGGACTGCCCTTTGTTTTGGGCATAGTAAAAGAAAGCCATGGCTCCCCCATATCAACATGTCAAAGCCACATTTTAAAGATTATTCTTGCAGGGGAGCTGATCACTCTGGCTGTTTTCAGGCTCAGTACCTGGCAGCAGTTCTCAGCTCATCGGGAGTGCAAGGCGAGTGCGGCTTTCTAAGAGAGATGCCCAAGTGGTTGCTGGGACTGAAGAAGAGCAAGCCGGACATACAGGGGCTTCTGGACACGTGACCCCTTCTTAAGAAACACTCTGATATTTTACTTCAAGATGCTTTCCCCATATTTCCCACGCCGTCGCAGCGACTTCTGTAACCCTATTACCCAGAGAGCTTGGGCATACTCAGGCCTTGGAGAAGGCTAGCACTGGCGACCAGCCTTGTTGGCTACAGGCTTCCTTGGTTGGCCATATGCCAGCACACACCCATTGCGGAGGAGCACGGGCAGGCAGAGGTCTTGTGCCCATCCTGCTTGAGGGCTCCTGTGGGCAGCTGTGCAGAGGGGGTGCAGGACTGGATGGCCCATTGGTCTGATCCAGCATGGCTTTGCAGTCTCCTCCATGCTACAAGGTCCTATTGGCCATTCAAGGTGAAAAATCATGCAGCTCTCAGTGCCCAGTTTATATTCTATGGGCCTAAATATTTATGAAGTTCAGTAAACCTTTTGGTTAAGGATGATGCGAAACACATGCACACGCTCCGTTTGTCGCAAGGTATTTTTCAGGCAGGGTTGCCTCCAGCTACAAAGCACTGACAGTGGGAAAGAACCGGCTCTTCTTTCCTGTTATACCACAAACGCCAGCCCAGTAAGGCATTTAACTCTGCCAGAAAAATGCAAGGAGATGCCAAATTTACACTTGCATTAGCAGCCACTGGCCTTGAAAGCAAAAACTTCAACATACCATCTGCTGGAATCACCTGCGCATCATGAGGTGCTGGGTGATTTGCTATTTCAAGGGCTTTTCTCACAGACAGAGGTTCTCATAACTCTCGGTTCAAAGTTACGTGGCGAGACTATTAACATTCCCAGCAGAACAGTGATGCACTTACCGCACTGCTTCATGACTTGGTAGGTTTTGGATTTGATTTCCTGGTTGCTGGAGAGCTTCCCTTTAGCCCCTTTGAGGTCTTCCTCTTTCACTGGAGGGCGCTTCTTTTTCACAGGAGCAGGCTGGAAAGACAGACAAATTAGTATGACAAGATACAGTACAGTCGGACCACAACCCCAATGGGCTATAAATATTAACCAATTCCATCTAATTACTTGACCACTTGACTCCAAATTGCTATATATTTCATGGTTAATTAACTGGTTATATAACTGTCTCTTATAGACAAGAAATTAGGCAGAAGAGCTGCTGCGATTCACACACGGTGGCACCGAGACCTTCTGTTTATGCTGAATGGCTTGCCAACAAAATCTAAAATACTGAATAAAGGCAGCATAGTGAATTTGCCTCCTTGCAAAATTAAGTATGTTGTCATACCCATCCTCGGTGGGCTGGCTATGATCCACCCAGATACCACCTCCTGTTGGGGGCTGTCACCGAAGCTTGTGGTTTAACTCTTTCTTGTGTGAAGCACTGTATCTTTTATCTGTTCTGCATCTCCCACCATTCAGTTTCATGGGATAAGCCCAGGTTCTAGTTGTATAATTTCTCACTCTCCACTTTCTCTTCACCATGAAGTTTTGTACACCTCCAGCATCTCCCTTCTGGCCCACTATTCATTCTACACTGTAAATAGAAGTATTACTTCCAAATTACAAGAATAGTACCCCTATACTCTTCACTAGTCAGACCTCATCAGGAATACTGTGTCCAGTTCTGGGCACCAAGATTTAAAATGTAGGTAAATTAGAAAGGGTCCAGGGGAGGGCAGCAAAAATGATCCAGGGTTTGGAAACACTGCCCTTTGAGGAGAGACTGAGAGAACTGGGCATGTTTAGCCTTGAGAAGAGAAGACTGAGGGGGGACATGATATCCCCCTATGAGTACCTCAAAGGCTGTCACAAAGAGGAAGGTCAAGATCTCTTCTCGCTGATACAGGAGTGTAGGACACAGAATAATCAATGCAAGTTGTGACAACCCAGATTCAGGCTGGACATCAGGAAAAGCTTCCTCACTGGCACAGCAATACGACAGCGCAACCAGCTGGCCAGAGAGGCGGTGGGCTCTCCCACACTGGAGACATTCAAAAGAAACTGGACAGCCATCTGAGTGGGATGGTGAAACATGGTGTCCTGCAACAGCAGGGGGTTGGACCTGATGGCTTTCACGGCCCCTTCCAGTCTGCTATTCTATGATTCGATGGTTCCGTTCTGTTCATGTCAATGCAGGCATGCAATGCTATGTGCCTCAGACGTCCTGCACAATAATTCTGAAGTGCCTTAGATTAAGTAGACGAGAAGAGGAGACTCAGAGGGTATGTTGGCGACATACAGGTACATGAGGGAATGTCACATGGAGGTGGGTAGAGACCAGTTCTCCCCTGCAGAGGAAGGCAGGACGCAGTCCAACGGAGCAAAGCTCAGGGGGCCAAGGTTTCATTTGGATGCCAGGAAGCGCTTCCTGACAGTCAGGACCCCGAGGGTGTGGAATGGGCTCCCATGAGAGGTCGTTGAGGCCCCATCGGTGCGGGTGTTCAAGGATAGGCTGGACGTCCACATGGTGGGCATGTTGTGAGCGGAGCCGGCTGGTGCCACAGGTCAGACTAGATGGCCTGGGAGACCCCTTCTGACTTGCTCTGTTTCTATGTTTCTAAGTACAACAACCAACCAATCTGCAGCAATTGACTTTTCTACATATTCCAAGCATGCATGGGAATAACTTGCTGCCATTTTATTGTGGGAAGAAAAACAGTCCAGATCCCAGGGGAGCAACACTACACAGCCGGCCAAGGAACATCGAGTCTGCAAATTAAAAGCGTAGTTTTTCCATGATTGGCCACTTATTCTGGAGAGCGAGGGTGCTGGCATGCTTGGCAGTCACAGAGCAAGGAAGGGGCATTGAAAGTCTGAATTCTGGAGCTGGAGTGGCTGATTCCACACAATGGAAGGCCAAGACTTGCCAGTTGGACCCCATTAAAAGAATGCTCTACATGGCAACTGTTATTGCCTGATAGACTGGGTGGGTTGGGGCAATACTTTAAGCCCAGGGTTGCTATAAACCCAGGAACAAGCGATGGTTACCTGGACTGCTTTGTGAACTGCCCCCCGGTGGCTTAGCACACTGTGCCAGACCAGCCACTGAAGGCCACACCTGAGGCAATGTTCTTCCCGTCAGCCGGGATTGGTGGCTTTCACCAACATGGAGAACCTCCCTGACCGCATGGCAGAGGAAATGGCTCGCCCATTGCCAGCACCCAAATAGGGTCCATCAGTGAGCATATAACTTGTCAACCTAGCCCCTGCCATGAGGCTCCTGGAGGCTCCTGGCGAGCCAGGCAAAGGACCCTGCGCACGGGATCGGCAGAACTGCCACGTCAGGCTGCCCAGATACTGGAGGGAGGGCCCTGCTGGCTGATCTTGCTCCACCAGTGCAGGGCCCGCTGTGCTGGTTGCTCGCCAGGGCTTTTCCAAGCCCAATTGAAAGTCCCAATTTTGACCTTCAAACTTTTAGGTGGTTTGGTCCAAGCAACCTGAGGGACTGCCCAACCCGAAACTCATCGACAGAGGCCCTTGCCACCTTCCTGGCTAGCTTGGGGAATTTATGCAAAGGAGAGGAGGGGGCATTTCTGGCATTAAGGCCCCTTCTTTGCAGGTCTTCAGGAAAGCTGTGAAGGCTCCATTTTTGCTGACCTTCCTCTAAGTTAGGGGTGCTGGTTTCTACTAGCAAGTTTTGTACATACTGATTTTAACTGGCAATCACAATACTTATGGGTTTTATTACAAACTGTACTATGGAAATTGTTATTGTACTATATATGCACAATAAATATTTTATATTTAAATATATATACATTTAGCATCTAATCTTGAGAGGGCTGCACCCTTAAAGGTGGTCTATGTTTTAATTTTTAAAGATATTTTAATTTAAACTTATAGAACAATACAAAACCGTAACCTTAACCCTAAGCCTAAAAATACCTCATAAAGAATAAAAAGTAAAAACAACATAATAGACAACAGACAACTATATTTAAAATTGACTGGTGTATCCCTCCACCAGGACCATGGCTACATAACATTTATTCCTTCATTTCTTTCTTCATTCTTACATCTAAATTTCTGCTCTTTCAGGAATTCTTCCTTCCATCCAAAATTGCATTGAATCAACTAAAGGTTAAATACTTTTCCTTTTTATTAATACATGTACAATAAATGAACCCCACATATGCTTAAAATCATTCTTATTTATCAACCTTTTTTTCGCCTGAATCCCATCTGTCAACTTATCAACAGCTATATTCCACATTTCTTTATCCCATTCAGGTAACTGGAGATCCCGTTTCTCCTTCCAGTTCTTTGCTATCATCAATTTTGCTACTGTTTCCTTAAAAGTGGCCTAGAAATAATTTTGGATAGTTCCATGTCGCTCAGCTAGGACCACTGCCAGGGAACCACATAATGCCCAATGTTCTCGAAGCAGCTACTTTAGTCCTGGGCCAGGTTCTAGTCAGAATCCATTCCTGTGCTCACAGGCACAACAATCCATCCTACAGTTTATCTGAAACTGTGACAGGAAGAAAGTGCTTGTTTATAAGAACTTCCATATGGCTTTTAGTGATGATTTACTTTTAATGGAAATGAAGCAGAAACAAAATTCTTTCACACAGCTCCTTCAAGAAGCTTTTGAACAACTGCCATGTGTGTGTTGTATGTGCGTACTCTGCTTCAGGGTTTCTGGCCATCCGAGTTGTGACTTAACCATTCTCATTAGTAAATTGCAGTTTTCACACATGCCCCATACAAGGAATGCTTTCTTGCTCCATGTGGGACAGCTTGAAGCTCAACACCTTCAGATAATTCTCCTGCCACACACACAGAGATGTTATCTCTCAGCTTGCACATGTTTTCTGACCTTTTTGTCAGTCTCATGAAGGTATTATGCTGACACTGATTTTTGGCATTACAGGTTGTCCAGTCAAATAATCACCCTGAATATTGGAAGAAGTTTGGCTTAAAAGCAAAATTGATGTCAGTAGCCAACTGAACCTTTGGTTTGTTGGTTATTAAGGTTTTTGCCTCATCTTTGGCATATATAATATACTCTCTAAGAAGTATGTAGCATCAGCAGCGGAAAGGAACAGATTTTTAGTAGCGTTCTAACATTTGGAAGTGAAACTATAGTACCCTGAATGCAAGGAACTCTAAATTAAAGCATTCTATCAAATATACGATTAAGGCATATTAAAACACTATATCCTTAAATGGATATAAATTGATATTGGATTAAAAGGGTAAGTGGGGGAAAGGGAGTTAAGCCCCATTTTTCTTAGTCCTCTCAAACACGTTCTAGTTTAGGATAATTAGCATTTTAGTCTCACCGATGGATTCATAGCCAAACCTAAGGCAGCCAGAAAGCTGTGCAGAACAGAAGATAAACTGGGAATGAAGGTGCTCAGGAAAACATCACTCATGCAATTCACAGCACATGACTATCAAGCCGCCAAAACCGCAGATCAACATAGTACCAGTTGTTCTGATCCTTGCAAAGAAGAAAAGGAGCCATACCTGTGACATGGCGGCCGCACACCCACGAGTCTGGAGCCAGCCCTTGTCCCTACTGTGCAGAGACTGCGGCAGCCTGCTCACTTGAGTTTATATAGGCTCCCTCGTGCGAGGTCATTCTACTGGGTCATCTTTCCAGTCTAGCCTCCGGAGCATTTTGCGTTGACACAGCCTTGTTGTTGAGAGGTTTATTCTTAGCGGTGACTGAAGATTGCAGAATTTACTGAAGTGTGTGACTGGGTGAGAAGAACCGCACAAGTGACAAGAGAAGACAGCTGGGCCAGGAGAACTATGTGGAAGTCTTGTCCCTCTTCTCAAACAAGTACGTCTTTCAAGGGAATCCTCCGGGTAGCTATTTATAGCTTTAAAGGGCAATGCTTTGTGTTGCAGGCACACAGTTAGACTGTGAGACTCTACATATACACATGTGCAAAACCAGCTGAAAATTGGATAGGGCTGCTTGCTGGGTTTTGGACCTGCTCTGCCATTGAGGTCAGCAGGAGAGGCCCTTGCTGGCAGAGGCCTGTGGCCATGGAACGTCTCCTGCAGGCTGGTCCCCGACTCTGGACTGTTCTCCCGCTGGAGCTGCGATTGGGCTGCATCTCTTAACAGCGCTTTTAAAACTGCCATGGTCCCTTAAGGTGGCTTTTTGTGTTTTGCATGTTTTACAATGTTTATGTTGTGGTATCTTTGTAAACCACCTTAGCTGGTTTGTGAAAGGTGGTCAAGCAACAGAATAAATGGTAATAAGTAAGGAGATGTCATGAAAGAAAATACAGATTCCTAATTGTTTTCCTTGTAATGGTAATATGCCACTTATAATGCCAATACTCTCTGAGGCCGGGAAAGTGACCTTGGAGAGGGAGCAAAGGGCTTTGGGTGGGGAGGAGCCCAGGGCTGCCAGCATAGGAGGGATCCTGAAAGTGCTTCAGCCTCTTCCCTTCTCCTCTGAAACACCAGTGCTGGACTGCAGAAGATGGCTCCCACGCTGAAATGCGGCTCATGTGCAGGGAAGCAAAGAAGCCACTGCCACTCCTCCCACTTGGCGCTGGACAGGCGTGAGCCTCCCCGTTTGGGACTTGATGCTGCTCTCCCCAGGACTGCACCCTCCGTTGCTCGTGCACGGCTTCCAGCTGGATTGGACTCCGGAATGCTTTCTGCATAGGACCACCTTTTAAAAATAAAGTTTGGCAATGATTGATTGAAAAGGACTGCCTGGATGTTGGTAACAGCTGGCAGGCAAGCACAGCTAATACCACTCAGGTATCAACCATAGTGTTACCAATTTGATAGATTTCAATTTCAAATGCTTGTGTGTTTATGCCAGGCTTCTCAACCTGGGCTGCTCCAGATGTTGTAGGCTACAATTCCCATCATATCTGGTTATGGTCCATGTTGGCTGAGGCTGATGGGAATACTAGTCCAAAGGATCTGGAGCAACCCAACCTGGGGAAGTTTGTTTTAAATGACCGAAGATCTGTTTATCAGAAAGCTTGCTTTTCGCAAAGGAAAGCAGCTCAGCCTTCTCTTTCCCTGCGTTTGGACATGCTATAAAAACATAAGTATTCCAACTCATACATTCTTCCCTTACAATGTTTTCCACCCTGAAGTACATTAGGAAGTTCCTTTTGTTTTAGCTGTTTGAATTGCAAGCTGCCTTGCAAAAGGTCTAGTCCAAACGATTGGTTATAAGTGAGTAAATAATAGGTACACAAAGAATTGCGAGGTGCCACAGGGATTAAGCAACAACTAGCTTTTTTTTTTTTTTTGTAAATGTTCCACTCTGCGTATCTCTTCTCAGCAACTATACAGATCTGATGTTCCTTAAGCCTTTGCTTCCAAAACATTCCTAGTGAAGCTGTGGCTGTATATATACTTTTCAAAGGCCAGTGGTGAAAAAAGTCACAGATAACACATGTTGGATGACATCCAGGCATGTCTGTCAGCTGAAGAGGCCAGTAGAACAGATTCCCTTCCCAACTGAGCCCCACCCTTCCGCCCCCCAACTCTGGATACAGCCCATTGTGTATACCAATGCAGTAGCTCTGAATTTCACCATTATTTTGAGTTCTTTAAAGAAAATGTCCCATTCTTGTATTGCTAAGAAAAGTAAGGTTGCCCCATGATTTCAGTCATACCCCTAAACCTATCCAAAATAATGGAGAAATATGTCATTAGGAATGGCAATGTTAAAAAAAACCAGTTGGATCTCCAGGAGAATTTCCATTAATCCCCCTGGACTTCCTGGTAGCCATTCTTGAACAAAGCAATGCCAAAGACATTATCAAAGCACCATTGCTGAAGTACAGTTCATCAAAAAAGTTCAATTCTACTTCCTATCTTGGAGTAAGGACAGAGGGTTCTCTTGTTTTTAATCACAGAATGTAAATTAATCTGCACATGACTGCAATAATATCTGTGTTATCATCCAATAATTTTTATGGTTTTGCATAAACAAGAATGAAAAGGGAAATAATCCTGCAGAAAAGCAAGGAGAAAATAAGAGACTGAGGCAAAACAAGGGTTTTCAAAGAGCATATCATTAAAAAGTTAAGAACAAAACTAAAAATTATTTAAATACATGAGAAGCAGCAAGTTTGCTAGGAAGCTGGTGGGACCAGAGGATGACAAAAAAAGCTAAAGGACTATTAAAAGGAGGAAAAGGAGATTATAGAGAAGTTGGATGAATTATTCGGATCTGCCTGAACTGATTTACCAGAACAGTCTGAGGAAGGGAGGAAAATAGTGATGACAAGACATGAAATTCTAGACTTTATTGACACACTGTAAACAAATCACCAGGTTCAGATGGTGCATATCCAAGCGATCTTAAAATCACATGAAAAGCTGCTGATCTTGCATGAAACTTATGAAAGGTGTCTGCAAGACTGGCTTCTCTGCAGAGGATTGGAAAGTGGTGAACAGAATGTAAAATTTTAAAAAGTGATCCAGGGGAAATCCAGGAAATGCAGAAAATTTTAGGGTGGTTGGCTTAGCATCTCCTCAAGTAACTTAGTGGAAAATATTAAAGATAAAATTATCAGACAGATAAAAGGGTAAGTCTGGCTTAAGAATCAGTTTGGTACTTACTTTACTAATTGTTTAGACTTTCTCAGTATTATGAAAGCCACCTTGAATTCTTTGGAAGGAAAAAGGGTGGGATATAAACAAACAGAATTTTTGAGAGTGTCTGTATCTATTTTCAACAGGTTTTTGACAAAGCCAAAACATACTTTTTACCAATCTCCACAATTTTAGAAAGGTTACTTATATTCAACTAAAATAGGCCTGTGCTGGGTTTCTATAGTGATTTTCCACTTACACAGAAATTAAATTTGAGTGTTTTACAATGTCTGCTACAGGTTAAACCTAAAGAAAGCTAATATGCAGGCAGTGAGTTGAAGACATGTAGTGACAAAGTTATATTATGCCAAAACGTTTATTGTAAACCATTATTTAGGTACAACACATACTGTTTTCCATTTTAATGTAATACCATCTGTTAAACATGATCCACATCATGGTTCACATCTTTAATCTCACAGGGCAGACTTTCCTCTTCATCTTGAACTCCCAAAGCACATGAAATCCTAATTGCAAAGGGGTAAATCCAGACTGCCACATTGTGGAGGTCAACTTGCACTGGAGGAAGGAGGCAAGACAGTAATTTCTACTATTCTTCCCTTTTTTCTGGAGCCTAGCACATCCTAAAAACTGCTCTGGAGGGTTGGGAGGCTCTCTGGAGCAGAAAGGGAAGTGATGGGAGAATTGGTCAAGATCACCACCCGATTACCTCCTGCCAGTGGGAGCAAGAGGAGGAGCAAGTCTGGATCCAACCCAGAAAGTACAGCTTGAAAAGATGCTGCCATTTTACTTTGTAAAGCCACAGGAATCCCTCAGCATGTAACTGGAAACGTTATTGCATCTCCTGTGACTGGATGTGGCTAGGTTTTGTACGTTCGCCATCACCACTATGTCTGTATGGAAGCCGCAGATCCGCACTGAGCATGCACAATGGACATAGACACCCAGCTTTCCAAGAGGAAATTTTAAGGCTACATCCCCTCTGCCTTCCTCCAGCAAAGCAGAGTTAGAGACCCAAGCAACATGCTTGTGAGGGAATGCCTACGGGACACCTTGCATTGTTGTTGTTTGGTTCACAATTCAACGAGTATGAGGTCTTTTCCCTGAAGAGAAGCTTATCACATGGTTTGTCAGCAACATTAATATAGAGCATTTCAGTAAAGATAGTCAGGGAGACATTAATACACTAACGTTAGAAACGAAGACCGCATGACAACCACAGCGTTTCCAAACGAGTTATGTTGGGCACCTGATATCACGACCAGCCAGTGACACAAATCCTTCTCTATTTCAACTCTGTATCCCGTCCCTTTGGCAGTGGGAAACTACTCATCTATCAGATTTCACTCTGTATTATATGTTTTAAGTGCAGAAAGAACTGAATCACAGTCACATCGGACTCGTATTGGCAGCTCTTTTGCTCTTTGTAAAGCACTGTCTGAAGCACACTTTACTGTGATCTTGAGTGATAAAGTGAGCTGAGCCTTTGGAGAACATTTACATCTTGCTTACTTTGCCAAATTCAAATTGTCGCAACGCAGTGCCGAACCAGCAAAGCATTCAAATCCATCCTGCTGTAATATGAAAAACAGAAGTCAGTATGCCTTCCCTGACATTTTGTGTTTTGATTTAATCCTAAAAGCAGAGCAGAGCCATTTTTCAACTTCAGCTAACCCCATCCTCATTCTACCCACAAGCTTTCAGAAAGGGATTAAGTGCAATAGAAGAAATTAGGATGCAGTCCCAGGCAAGTTTAGCCCAAAGCCTTAAAATTCCTGGCACTTCCCAGCCAACCACACTCACTGGGGAATGCTGGGGATCGTAGGCCTTGGTTTGATCTAAAGAAGCATAGGATTGCATCCTTAAGTAGCTTACCTTATAGTATGGCTCAGAGCAACAGCCATACTCAACTCATCCTTCAGACAGTGCTTAACTAATGGAACTTATTACCGTAAGATGTGGCAACAGCCCCTTCGATAGCTTTAAGCAAAGTGCTGGCAAGCTTATCAATAATCAGATTTTTTGCTGGGTGAAAGCTACATGGGACCTCTTGTATGGCATAGTATACTTTTGATTATCAGATACTGGGGACTTAACAGAAGAAGGCCATCACTGTTACGTTCTAAAGTTTGACCAGTGAATGTTAAACTAAGAGAAATCTTTTCTTTCTTAAATAGGCTGTGCAACTTTACTGACATCTGAGCATTTTAAATTATATCTCTGGACATTCTACTATAAGGCATAAGAAGTACAATGCACATGTCCTTCTGATGCAGAACAATTTGGGAAAAATAAGAGTACTTCCCTTCCTTGTTTAAAACATTGAATTGAGCCGCTCTGCAGTGCCTGTGATATAGTCAATGAAAATGCTAGATCTGAGGTCTATTTGAAGTTTGACTATTTAGATTAAGGCTTTGGGCTTGATTTTTTTAAGACTTCTCCATCCCAGAATTGTTTAGAACAGATATTTTACATACCTGATGCCACAGGAAGAAATGAGCAGAGTTAAGCTTTTGGATTTCATCCAGTGTTATCAGAAGAAAGAGGTAAATGGCATATAGCAGGCATTCTTTCCCGTTTACAAAGCCAAGTCATTTTTTCCTTTCTTAGTCCAACTATACAACTAATGAGATGGGGTTAAGTATCTATTCTGTTGATGAATTGCATCTGCCCTCCTGCAGAGCAGAGATTTCACAGAGGTGTGAGAGAATCTGGCTTAGGATATGAAGCTTGACAAGTCACAGAGTCAGAAATATACAATGGAAATACAGAAACAATAGGTTAGGAGGCAACATTGATCAAGGACATTTCCCCACCTCCAAACAGAGGCCTTAGCTAGGTTTCTAGTGAGATGAACATTGGTTTCCCTTTGTTTTGAACCTGAACACCAACGAGTAACAACGCATTGCAAAGATGTTGCAGTGCAAGACAACATGGGCCAAAGCGCCTCTTCTGGGCAGACAGATTAGAGAGGCAGACAGTGCTTGTCTTGGAGCTACAGCTATTAAAAATAGCCGGAAAAGCAGCAGTGGAGCAGTGTACTTGATCGTCTGAGGCTCGAAGCCCCAAAACCAGCCTCAAAACCAGCAACCTGCGTAGCTCACCACATTTTATATGTGACAACACCTATAAAAACTGTAAAAACAAAAATACAACACCTTGGAGAAGTTCTGAGCTCTTGCCAGTGACAGTGTTTTAAGGCTTGAAATACAGTCTGACAGTCAGACACTGTGAGTTACAGTTCTCCCTTTTTTTCCTGAATTCACTTTTGTTGTTTTGTTAAATCAGAAGGTTTCAAAGTGAAAACTGCCAACAATTGCCAACCCGCAGTCAATGAATTAGGTGTGCAAGCATCCTATTGTCAGATCTACTTTCTGTTACAGGATAGCAGACAAAAAGCTGCAGCCACTTTGAATTTAATGGATGAATGTATTCATTAAACTATGCTACACACCTCTGCTTTTCCCAACTGGAATGAGAGGTGTTGATTTTTAGGAAGCAGGGATTGCTACACTCCCAGTAGTCAACCAATCTTTCCAAGGCTGATCAAAAAAGCTCTTGGGAGGAACGGCTCCCAGCACAACCCCATTCAGTCATATAGAAACCCACCTCATACCATGAGGCAAACCATGAGGTCCATCTGGCCAGTGATGCTGGCACTGACCGGCAGTGGCTCTCCAAGGATTGGGGCAGGATCCTGCCTGGCCCACCCTGGAGAAACTGGCCTTGCCCCCAGGGCCTTTTGCAGGCAAGGCAAGCACCCTTCCTCAGAGATGCAGCCCTTCCCCACGTAACGCTGGTAACGTGAAGGGCCAACCTGTGCTCTGTTCTCTTTTCAAGACAAAGTTTTCCTTGCTTTTGCTTTTAAAAAGGAATGTCGCTTCAGCTTTGGAATCGTTGAGTTGAAGGACCCAAAGACATGCAAGTGCTCAAGCAGCAACATCACTACAGTCTCTTAAATGTCTGGTTGACATCTAGAAGAAACCATCTTGGAAATTTTTGTTGCTTTTATGGTAAAGTGCACAGGGCCACACCTACACCAATAGTCCCCATACTGCAGAGCGGAGCAGTAGTCTATTCCCCGAAGCAGGGCTGCCACTCAACCACCATGTGGATCAACCAGGCTGGTGCGTCACCCCAGCAGCATGGCTGTTCAGCTCTGGCAGCCACGGGACAGCAGCTCCCTTGGCCGCCACCTTCCCCTCCTTTATGGGATGACGCCAAATAATGCTGCTGCAACTCTGACCTTTCTGAGCCTCACGCAAAAAGTAACAGCATAATTTTGTTTGACAAAGACAATCCTTAAATATTCCCGTAAGAAAATATAACTTAAATATAAAAGTTTGAACAGGTTAGAGGAGTTTTGAAGTGGGGAAAAATGTTGTTCAGCCTATTAATTCCATAGGTACCCTTAAGTAGTAAATTTACATAAGAATATTAAGTCACAATTTGTAACATAAAATTATTCTGCTCTAGGAATATGCTGGAAAGACCAGTTTTTAGTAATAAAACATACTGATTCAAATTTTGTTAATCCTGGTATCGCTTGCAGAATATCATTCAGGAAGCCCTGCCAAAACGAGAACTCTCTCTGGCCTGGTCACATCCAGATAGCCTTGGTGAGGAGGACTTTTCCACACATGCTAAGATACTCTTGCATATTTGGTCAGAGTTTCCACAGCACAGCAGAACAGGTAGCTTTTCCAACTGTCCATGTTCCATTGGGTTGAGTCACCATTTCGAGGCAACAAGGATACAATTGCCAGATGAAAATCCACTGAATGTGGACAGTTTTGTCATAAACCTGCAAACATACAGGCCCCTGAATCTGTCATACGGGTAGACCAAACCGATGCTTCTTTTTCTTAAAAGACTTTAAATTAGTCAGTCTCCGAAGGTCTTCTTCACCATCGGACTCCTCCATTTCATCATCTGCTGAAATTAGGATCTATAGACAAAATGATAAACAAATTGAGACAGAAAGTCTATATTTAGAATTTTAGAAATTTAGACAGGAAACTCAATTTTCTTTTCTACAATCAGTATATACAAACTCAAACATTGTTAATAAAATGAGGATGAGCAGATACAGGACCATTGAGATCTCAAAGTAACTTTAAGCTTATCTTTCACTGATGCTTCTTGAAACTGTACAGACTATAATCTAAACAAATACTTCAGGTCTGTCACTGTCTATGACAAACACCACCCAGATAGGTCTGTGGGAAATGTCTACTATTTGTTAACTTTTTTGAAGACCCAACAAGAAGTTACCAATGTTGCAAAGTGGAATTTGAATGAATAAAGACCATTCTATTGAAATTGTAGGAGCCAACACTCTTTCATAGTAGCAGACTTGTGGGTTTTACTCCCCGTTTGTTACTGATTAGCATCTCTGCACGATATGTAGATCCTCCCAAGAAGAGAATAGTTAGTATCAGATACTTCCATTTGTGCTCTGCCTGGAATGACATGTCACTTTTTAATTTTTTAAAATTATTTTCAAATATGTAGAATATTAAAAAAAAAGAAAAGGAGAAAGGATACCAAGGGATCTTGCATGAATATTAAATTTAATATCAAGTTCAAAAAATTTCACAAAAAGTCTAATTGTTACCTCTTCTACACTCAGTTAAATTGATTAGTATTTAATTGAAACTCATAGAGCAATTGTTCTAATATATAATTATTAATACTAACTTATTTTCCAGTCCTTTTAAATAATTTTAAAATAACAGCAGAGCATTTGTGATAAAATTATAACTCACTAATTACATTTTTACAAGCTCTATGGACATTAAGTGAATTGTGTATAATAAGCTTCCCATTTATCATTAAATTCTTTATCTGGTCTTCTGTTTATATAAATAGTTTAGCCATTCAGCTAGCTTATTTTTCCAACTTCTTTATTTCTGCTTTCCATTGATGTAATTATAACTCTAGCAGCTGTTATCATATATTTAAATAACTCTACCATATTCCTGGAACAATAGTTTCTGGTACAATAGTCAGTAGCATATTCTTAGCATTCATAGGAAAGTTAATTTTTCAGAATTTTCTGTATTTCTGTTTGTATTTCTTTCCAAATTTTAAAAACCTTATTACACATCCACCAGATATGCTAAAAAGTCCCATCCACTTCTTTTTATTTCCAGTACTTTCCATTATAATTCTTAACCATTTTCTTAATATCATTTGTTATACCAATGAAAAAACATCTTACACTAATTTTCTCTTAGTGCTTCACTAGCTGTGAATTTTATATCCTTCATCCACAAAATTTCCCACTGATGAAGATATTTCTTCCTCAAAATTCTGCATTCAACTTATCGTGCATTAGTTTAACTTTTTCAGGTTCAGTATCTTATTGAGTAATCATTCATCCTAGCAGGTGGTATTTTTGTGGTGTAATCAACCCCTCAAATTCCATCAGGTCTCTCACAGTGCCTTTTCCTGTTTGAATTTCCATATTCAATCTTGAAACCAACTGTTCATAGAGAAGCCATTCTATCCCTTTCCCTTCAACTTTTAATTTCTGCCATGGCTTAATTCCTCCTTGTTGCGCAATCACATCTCCACATATTATAACATCATCCCTTTTCCTCAAACGCTTATCATAATATGCTTCTATTAGAGACATCAGAAGAGAAACTGGGGGGCCAATTCTTCTTACAGAACACCAGATTCTAATGAAACCACCTCTAAATGCATGGCTATTCTTTTGTGTTAAAGCCTTCTTGGTTGATGCTTCAGTGACATCTCACTTTGGCCTGTGAAATGTAGCTTTGTGAGCGGCACAATTTGTTATGGTGTAGAGATGCGTCCCTCCCCGCCCCACACACACACCTCTGCCCGCTCTGGCTAATCCCAAGTAGTTTCATTCAGGCAAGAGCTCTGTGGCTTTCATGGCGGTGCCTTGTGTTACGAAAGTAAAACCAGGTATTGATCATGCACTATAATATGCAATATACCTGTGGGATAAGGCAGATAAAAATCTATAAATATGTATATGCATTAAGTGTCAACTTAATACCCAGTCTACCCAGAATGACGACTCCTTCTATTCAAGTTGGATCTGTTTATCATTAATCGCACTCAGCACAAGTGCAGGAGAGCTTTTCTGCACAGGCCAGCCATGACTTGAGGTGGCTGGAGTTTTAGTACAAAGCACCTAATTTTACTCCATTAAAAATGACTGATGAAGACCCTGAACAGTTGGGACTTCATTAAAGAGCGCCAAGCAGCCACCTGAGCATTTTGGAGGGCAGGGTGCAGAGGAAATCCTTGCCTCCATGCTCCTTTTGCCCTCTATGGAATATCCATAACCTTCCAAATTTGGAGGGCTCAGTGAGTGGCACCCTTGCTTAGTTGGGGAAGGGGCAGGAATCCAACTGGAGTGCCAGGCTGAACCAGAATGACTTACGAAAGCATGAACGCTTCAAAGCAAAAATGAAAAAGACACAAAAGTACACAGTGGCACATGATAGTACTGTGTTAGATAACAGTAAGCAAATGGCAAATGATGAAATGAACTAAACAACTAGGAAATGCGGGACTTGCCTCGGACTCCGATTCTTCATGTGAGGCTGCCCTCCTGTATCGAACTTTGCTTCCGTTTCTTGAATCCAGTCCTGGTTCTTTCTCTTCAAGCTTAGCTTTTGTTTTCCCTTTCTTCATAAGGAAGTTATCAACTACCCAGAACATTAATGCCTGTTCCAAAGGAGAAGGCATTGTTAAGTGCCAGACATTCCTTGTATCATAGAATTCTATGGCTTTCTTACTATAACTTCTTACTATAATTCTATGGCATTCTTACTTTTACTACAGCAACTAGGTGCAAAGGACTTACTATGCAGCAACATCTGCATAACCATTTAATATTACATGAGTCACTAAGACTGATGAACTCCTTAAACTGAAGTTCAACAGGTCATTACACAAACAAGATGTATACAACATTTTATTGATACAGTACCATAGCATTTAAACATAAATTGGCTCTGTGTCTGGCACAAAACCTCCTCGCCTCTCTCCTGTAGAAATTTCGAATTGTGACAAGACAAATATTCATAAAATTGCATATATTCAAGTAGGTTATCTGATTAGTCAAATAATGGCTGAGTATTTAAAATGGCACCTAGTAAAAGTAACAGAGAAATGCTTTAAATGCAATATCCCAACTCAGTCATTTGGCAATAGAATATATTACATTCTAAGATTTTGTAATTATTTAAAGCTACCAAAGTTATGTTAGTGTAAGTTCATGCAAGCAATCATTTGGAAGACTTAGATCTAGGCAGAAAAAAGCTATTTTAAATGGAAAGGAATGCAAAACTACATACAGCAAATATAAAAGGAGACTTTTAAAAATGGGATTATTTTTGTCAGGGTATGCAGATCTTCTGCAGAATGCATAGCAAAAACACTCACTTCTGCTTTTGTTTCCAAAGGAAACCGTTATGCCCTTGCTTTTTAAAAAAATGATATTCTTAGCATCATGGAATATTGGAGGCTTGGTCAGATAAGAAAACCAAAGCTTCTGACAGGACAAATCAGTTTGAAGACTCAAACTTCATGGCAACACTCCAATAACTTAATGTGTTTGGTGACTCAGTGAGTGAATAGCTTCTGGAAGCACTGCAAAGATGTGCCTGGACAAACTGTTGCGGACCATGATTCAAGTACTGCTCAAGCAAATTTTTAGTAGCTTTTGAATTTTCTTGAAGATTTACAGTTTTGGTTAGCTACATTTAAAAAAATACTCAAATATGCTGCCAGCAACTCTAAAGTCTTACATGGAATAGAATGAAATGTTGAAAAATGATCGTGAACGTCCAATTCAAGAGATGGTGTGGTAGAGGCATTGCAAATATGGATTATGACCCCACTCCACCCAGGAGGGCAAGGATCATATGATCTTTCAGAAGAAGTCTGCATCTCCTTCTCTCTATCAGCAGTTTCCCTATGTGGCCAAGCTGTAAGGAGGGTCCCATAGGAAGATACGTCTTACATGTATCAGTGGAGTCTCCAAAACATTTGAAATGATTCTTTTTAGAGCCTGGAAGCTGGCTGGTGTTCATCCATCACAGACGTGAGATCTGCCTAAAGGGCCTTCCTCCAGGCCCAGGGAAGAGGTCATGGTGTCACCACTGCTAGGCAGGAGGTTATTTTCTGGCTATGGCAAGATCAAAAATGTGCAGGGTTTGGCACTCTTTGGTTACCCTCTGCTCACCTGCTGTTGGAACAGTTTGTCCCAAAAAATTTCACTGGCCACCGCTATCTCAACCTTTTCATCAAAGGGGAATGGGGCGCTGGATGGTTGAGCTGAGCTGGCCAGCTGGCATCGATGCTGCACCTACCAAGCGCACGCTGTTGGAGCTGTGATTGAAGTCATGCAATCTGCCACAGGAAGGGTGGCTAGTCCACCTTGCCTGCAGGAAGAGGTGCACCTGCCTGCTAGAGAAACCTGGCTATCTCTGGCATGTTTTCCAAACCTCTTCCTCTGTACAGGCTCCTAAAACACATCTTGCACTGCACCTGCCTGCAGGCGAGCCTGTGTCATCTCCCCTACCTCCATCTTTCCCCCCATTCTGTACTCCACTTTCTTTTCCTATTTTGAAGAAAGGGAAAATAAATGGATTCAGAAGCAAGGCCGAGTCAAAAATGTAGCTTAGGAAATGATTTAGAAGAAAAAACAGGAGACTGTTCTGAAGTTAGAATGCCCCAGGTGAGGCAAGGATGGAAATGAGGGAGGGAGGGAGGGAGCGCAAGACTGACCCAGATTACCTCTAAAAGATCACTGATCACATCCTGTCCCCCTGATGGAGAGAAGGGCCATAAACTGTGGTTTGGACACCTCCCCCACACCACCCAGGGAATCACAATTCCCTTCAAGTTGTTTAAAGTCTCTGCCATGCATCAAGTATCATGTTCTCAACTCTATACATAACAGCTAATTAACATTTCTTCAAATGCCATTAATCCACCTTATTCTTTTAGTATAACAGTCCCCTTAGATGTCACCACCACATATCTGCACTCCAAGCATAACTATTTTTAAACACACTGAATATCCGGAAGATGCTCATTTATACCAACATTTACAAAGAAGGGGACTATCAGCATTACAATAGCCAGCTCCAGCTGAGGGTTTTCTATAAGATTCAACAAAGCTACCTGTGAAGAGAAAAAGAAGCACATTAATATGGAATGACATACCATTGAGTCCCCTAGTTATCATTTTGCACTCTGTCTTGTATCAGCTACAAGGCGGCAGAACTGGGAAGAACTGCTGAGATGGAGAAGCGCTTCATGTTTCTTTTTCATTAAAAATTGATCTTAGCCTTAGCCAGGAACACTGTGGGTTCAGCTATCAGAAACTCCACTCCTAAAACTTCAGTGTAACACAGATAACAGCCTTGGGAGGGGAATGATATGCAGCTGCGGCACATGGAGAGCTGACCCGGGTCTTCAGTACTGACATAGTTAGATACTGGGCACTGCTACAATCAGACCCTTCTCCTGTTTGGGAGCTTACCACCACCACCACTAAGCTGGCAGGGTTTCGCTATGGAGTGTTCATTTCCATTCCGTTCCTCCTGTCCCATCAGAGCACAACCATGATCTACCTGGAAATTATTTGTGAGCATGTGCTGCTAAGATGTGCTGCTAAGATACACTTGAACACATGGAGCTGTGTCTGAATGCCAGTGCTGAAGACCTTTAAAAGGCCAATTTCACACACCTTCCAGGCTTATGATAATAAGGTAGGTTTCAAAGCTTGAAATAAGGAGATGGTAAGTTCCAGGTAGATCATGGATGTATATTGTCAAAATATTGACATTTTCTGCTCATTTGAGACGTGTACACATTAGTACAGGAAGCATGCAGTGGTGCACTTGTGAATATTCATAGTAAAGATATTTTGATAAAGCTCGTTGATCAAAAGTAAATACCATACCCATGTTTTGTAAATTTGTAAGGGTTAAATTTAACCGTTATGTGAGGGTTAAATATCCAGCTGAGGGTTATGCAAGGCCCTGGTGGCTGCATTCACATTGCATGACAACCTTTGGGGTTGTACATTGAAATTGCACTGAATACACAGTGTTGCTCATGGTGGTTTAAATGACCCACATTGAGCCCCAGGTATCATGTGAGCTTGGTACTGTGGCATTTTCTTACTTATCAGAAAGAGTGACTCTATGGACATTTTATATTTAAAATTTCTTACAACGATGAGTTCCTACATTAATAGAAGCAATGTTTAATTTAGAGAATTCAGAAGATAGCAATGCAAATGAATTCAAGCCCCACAAAAGCTGTCATGAGCGCCGCACTGCCTTCCCTTATTTCAGCGCATCACATTCAGCTCTATTTAAGTAATACAAAACATTCACGTCAAATCCTACAAACTAGTAACATGTGCCAACATTTAATTTTGTAACATTTGATATTTAAAGAAACGTATACAGAGTAAACTACAGGCAACGGGTCCACTTGGCATGGCAGAAGGCAGGTGTCTGCAAAATAAGATTAGCCACACCATACTAAAGCAATTAGATGCATTATTGTAAAAATTAACACTTAGCTACCATGAATATTTTCATTAGGCTGCTCGAGGGCTGGTCCCACAATGAACTAACCCATCGAAAGCAAAGCATTGCAGACAGTCTGGCACACCACTGAGCAGTAGGGGTGGGGTGGGGTGGGGTGGGGTGGGATGAAGGGGACTGCTTTAGAAAAACCAAGGCTCAAACCTCTTTCCACTGAGGTATCTGAAGAACTATGATGATGATGGTTTTTTCGAAGATCATGATCACTATGTACAACGCACACTGTCCTACCCAAGCACTCCACTGCAGTGGGTCACCTACGAAAGAAACACACACGATTAGCACGGAGCTCTGGCAAGCAAACTTACACCTGCCTTTAAATGAATCGCACAACATTCCCTGGCATATCACAGTACTACTTCTTAACTTAAGGCACTGTCCATTCTGTCAGCTCAAGCTATTTAAAGCAAAATCACTGGATTCCTAGTTATCCATTATTAAAGAGCAAATATTGTCTTTCTGGTTATAAGATGATGATATTGATGATGATGATGATGATAACATTTCTATGCCGCCCCTTGCCGAAGCCTCAGGACGGCTTACAACACAATAAAATACATTGAAATACAATAGAACATAATAAATTACCATTAAATACAAAAATACAAAAAATACACTGAGTTACGAACATAATAATATAAAATTAAAATTATCAGTATAAAATAAGTAAATAAATAATATAGGAGGAGAAAAGAGAAGGAAAAAGATTAGGGTTACAGCACTTCAGAAGCTGAAACTAATCACAGATAAAGGCAGAAGCATCCATTTCCCATGTACGCATAGAATGCAGCAGAGATCTCCAACATACACAGAACAGAAGGCTGCACTTGAACAAAATTAATGTCTTGACTTCTAGAAAGCACCACAATGTGCTGCTTGGCAAATGATGGTATCTTCTCATCTTAAACAGATCTCCCTCTCTCACCTGCATATTACACAAACTAGAACAAAACAATGCATCAGCAACATGATTATTACAGCAAAGACTTCTAGGATGTAACAACAGATCACAAATGTCCAGTCTGTCCAGTTTCAGTCATTGTTAAAGTTTCGACACATTGTCCAATTCACATGTGTGAATTTTGTCCAGTCCAATCTTTAAGTTCTGCATGAAATCATTATGGACACTGCCCTTTCCTTCAAAGACATTAGCAAAAAGCAATGAGAGGCAGTGAACACTTTTACAAAATGATGCTGGCTACCTTTGTCCAATGTAGTGTCTGTGCAAACAATGAAACATTAAATTTGTATCTACCCTTCTTTGGAGAAAGCACGGCTTCCTGGGCATGACTTCAAAAGCAGAGACTTCTTCTTAGAACTGAGTATGATGAAAGGGATGCCATGTGGGTGAAATCTTTGCTGAACGCTTGGAGAGTATTCATGCCACAGTAATAGAAGTTCAGCTAAGATTTATACCTCAGCTTAGGAAAGGTACCACCAAATGTGGTTAATGAGCAGAGTCAAGGAAGCTGGTAGAGGCTAGAATGCTTTCTTTAGAAAATGAAGTCGAGCACCAATTAGGAACACAAGTTTCAACAAAACAAATGAAGACCACCAGGTTTACAAAAAATGAGAAATCTATCAGTGAAAAAAAATAAAGCAAATAACACTTTTAAACAGTTTTTGGCCTCAGGTCCCAACACAGCCATAAAGCTCACCCGGTGACTTTGGCCAGTCACTCCCTTTCAGCCCAACCCTCACAGGGTTGTTGTTGTGAGGATAAAATGGAGCTATGTAAGCTGCCTTGGGTTTCTCACAAAGGGAAGAAGGTGGGGTATAAATGTAATGTCAAAGTAATAGCAGAAGGAGAAAAGAGAGATGGAAGATTAGGTCAGATGCTTTGCTGAGTCCCTTTATAATTAGTATGCTTAGCAAAATAAGCAAACTAGATTGTTATACTCAATTCTAATTAATCCAGATTGACTGCTACCAATTTTGTTCTGAATACTCAGAAATTGTTGTATTTATTTGTTTGACAAGCTTCTCAAGTATACAAGACAAACTAAATTGCTTATAATAACCTTTAAGGTACACATTGTATGTGCACTTCTTTAGTCTTCCAGAAGATACCAATTCATCATTTATTTGCTATAGTAATTGCTTATTATGTTTTTAGTACTATTTTAAATTATTTTGCTCAAACCATTGTAGGATTCTTTGGCATTTTTGGTCACAAACAAATTAAATTAGAGTATTTCTACACAAGGAACTGGGTAACTAAAATATGACATTATAAATGTTTGTTTAAAGAACAGGTTGAAAGTTCCAGGCTGCAAATGCAAGGCAGAATATTGAATGAAACACTACCAACAAGATGAATTAAAACCCTGCAAACAGAATTTGGTTTGCTATATGCATTTGAACATGCAGTGTCAGCACATCTAGAATACAGCTATTCTTTATGATATTTCATCCTCTACTTTCAAGTCAGTTTTATAATATCTTCAAATACAGACTAACAGCTGAGCCTGAGAACTGTGCAATGGAAACTCAAATGCCTTTAAACAGCTGTAATGTGGAATGGACGGTGGCCATTTCCTTTTCTGGCAAGGCTTTGAAAGACATACACCAGATCTTTTACTAGCTGGTTTTGATGTTTATGTTTGTTATGTCTGTATATAACACTTCAACAGTCAATATGGCAACTCAGGAACTTTCTTATAGAAGCTACTAGATAGCAGTCCGTGTATCTTCAATTAAATGTATACATTTGCCTTGAGATTTGGAGTAAGACTTACTTACAAGGCATTAAAAGCAATTAAAGTTCAAAACTCTCTTTCCTATTCTGATTTTGAATGTGTGTATTAGGACCATCTCTCTTCTATTTAGTATGAAGAGAAGTTTGAAATATGCACACAACTTTCACTACTGGCAGGCTTCCCTTGATGTAACATATTTATTAATGTTGTGTCCATCTTAAACACAATAGAATTGTGTTTAATAGTAAATTGTTTTTATTAGATGTGCTCTTGGTTCTTCCCTAAATGAATTCTGTCTCCGAACTTTTAATCTATGACTGTTCCCTACAAAGAAAATATGGAGTTAGTATTTTCTCTGGGCTAATGAAGGCACTCTGGAGTGCTTTCTTCTGCACAGGTTCCTTGTAATCCTCTTTTGTCAGAAAACATTTGCTCTCAGGCTTTCGTGGGATTTTAATGTTTTACTTGTACCTGTTCCACATTTTAATGCTAATGTGTTTCAAATAACTCTGCTTTTGGCTATTCTGATCCTTGCACTGCATACTATGTTTCTATTCATTTAATTTTATGCCACAGTTATGGGCTGTTCCAGGTCCAGAACTAGCCAGGTGGATCGAAATATTGCGACCGGCATCTGCAAGCAAGTATTGCAGTGTCCCCCCACCTCAGCTCAGGGTTCCTGCCAGCCACGCTTTCCTCCAGGATACTGCAAGCCGAAGGCCAATTCACCCTTTCCAGTAGACACTCCAACTTCTTGGGCTGATGGAGACTGTTGAGCATGCTCAGTCTTCACTGGTCTGGGGTGGGTTTTTTAAAGGATTTTTTTTGGCGGGGGGGGACAAACTTCCACAAACCGAGGTCTTGCCTATTTACTATAACTACGCTTGAACTGAATTAGGATTCTACTGGGGCTTCTGCATTCACAGCACTGACTGATTTTAACTGCTCTCTTTTTTAAATAATTGCTACTGTTCTATTATTTTTATCATTTTACATGTTGTTTTATGCTGCCTTGGAAGGATTTATCCTAAACAATGGCTTATACACCATTTAAATAAGTAGAAGAAATAGCTTGCACAACAGCTACTTGTTCACAAAGAACTATACAAAGCATGATGCGGGAAGAGACGATGCCTTTCCTTGCCTGTGCCTTTGCTTTTCTTCATGAGCCTGAAGATATATTTTGGCAGCCTGTGAATTACAGGAATTTCAGCTTTCATTGCAAAGGGGCAAACATGTTTCTACTCTATTTTGGCAGAACTGCAGCATACAGATGGAACTCTGAGGCCATGTCTTGGCAACCACGTTACCCTACCTCTCCCGCCTCCCCTGGTGCATTTACTGTGCAACCCAGATGCCAGAGTGCTGTCTTTTGTTCTCTGCTTTCTATTGTACTTCACCTTGGGTCCATCAGGCTGCTTATGAAACAATTACCTGGTTATGACAAAGCCATAGTTAATGTACTCTATTTATAAGCCTATTCCCTTATTTTGAAACAAAGGAACTGCTTTACATGGGAAGGGTCCTTCCACACTACATGTCCCCGTTGCAGGGGAAATTTCCCCGGCACTATAGTATCCCCATAAATTGGATGGGAAGGCAAAGCTTTCTCAGCCTGGCATCAATCCAAAAGCCCCTCACTTATACCTCACCTTCCTTATTACAGAAACATAACAAGACTAGATGCCCTGAGCTAAATAAAAAAGCAACACCCATACTGCTTATTTTTAGGTTCAGGTAGGAATAGGAAGACTTTCAAATAAATTGACAAATATATTTCTAAGATTAAAACAAGGAAACCAGGAGGAGGCTTTTTAAAGTCAGGAGTAAAATGAGACAAATATGCCAGCTTATGGGGTCAGTTTTATAGTAAGCTACTGGTTTGTGAAGTTCATTTTTGTACAAGCCAAATGAACCAGCCAGTAATCAGCTCTGTTCAGGGACAATAAGCTAAGAGAAATTAGTCTCTGAGTTGACAGAATTCTGCTCGATCCTTCTTTTTAGTGTAAAGTATTGAGGGCAGGGGCCCAAAGCAGACGTAGTCCTGGCATGCTGGGTTAAGTGATTGGGAGAAAGCTACAGGGTGCTCCCGCCTCCCCTTTCCATACTAACCACAGTGCAGCATTAAAGCTGCACGGACCTTAATGAGCACCATACCCTACACTCTAGCCCTCACATAGGAGTCCAAGTAGCTTTTATGGAGATGCAGAGTTATGCCAACAGACAACAGAAAGAGTGAATTTACAGGGAGGAAGGCAAGATGCCTGAAAGGTCTTAATTTGTTCCTGGTCTTTTAAGCTAGGTAAGAAATTAGTCGCACTGCATCAACACTGGGCCAAGATTTAATCAGTAACATTTTACAACATAAGCATGGATTTTTTATTTTGGTTTCCTGGTTCTCACACACTATGCTATTGCTGTTCTATACTGAAAATGTTCCCCCTGTTTAAGCTACCTGTTAAGCAGATGAGATTGTTAAAGAAATACAAATGCTATGCAGACGTGTCTCACCCTATGCAACTTAATCTGTCAAATCACCAACAGCTTCTTCTGCATAT